CAGAGCTAAGTGTAATGACAAACCACTTGGCATCATGAAGCAACACTATAAAAGGTACATATAGCTCTTGTTTGGTGAGGATTAAAATTAAATTTTTAGTAGATTTTAATTAGAAGTCTATGAAAGGTGTGATTGAAAAGTTATTAATCTCATGAAATGCGTATTTAAAATTGATTGAACACTTTGATCTGTATTAAAATTTTGATTTCAATTCCCAACAAACAGGAGCAGAGTATTAGTTATGGGGGCGGTTGTTCGCTTTGTTTGAGCCACATTTTTTTTATAATAAATGTGACCTTTATTTATTGTCATATTTAAGATCTTAAACTTTTTTCCATCACACGTTAATTTTAATCTTCGCTAATTAACACAACTTGTCTCTAATGATGGTTTTCGTTCAAATTTTTTTGTTAACGCACTTTAAAATGAGGGACAAATATTTAATCATAATTTTATATTTTTTTTTACTTATTTAAAAGTACAAGGGATAAGAAAAAAAAATCTTTTATTTCCCCTTAACAGAATTTTGGACAAAAACCTTGACGAGTGAAAAGATGTGCTAATTAATTAAGATTGAGAGCAATAATATGATAAAAAAAAAAAAAAAAAAAACTAAGAACTTAAGTGTGACAATGAATGAATGTTTAGCCATTAACTAATTAAATGATCCAATTAATAAATTGTTATGTATTTAAAGGAATAAAATGAAATAAACTTTGTTTCATGAACTAAATTCCTATTTGGTTGAAAAGTTGATAAAACAAAGTGTATTTTGAAAAAAAGTCAATGAAATGTATGTGTGAAAAGTTGATAAAAGTTGTGAATCTCATGAAATGTGTGGTTGAAATTGAGTTTTGAGGAAAAAATGAATTATAGAAAATGGAAGTCAAACGAGCTAAGTATAGAGGAACGATTAATAACCGAAAAAAAAAAAAATAAATAAAATGATTTTTTCCTTATTACATTTAGAGACCATAAATAACAGATATAGCACTACACTCCAAATATAGGATATAAATACAAATATATCAGAATCCACCTGTTTCCTAAAAAATTCAACTACGCTAAAATATTGTATTTATTGTGTCACTGTCAGTGATGTCTTCAAGAAATAACTGAAGATCATTCAAAGAATAAATTTATAAATAATAGTGAATGAGTTGGATGAATAGTCTATACGACTTTGATTGCACGTTTAGTACGTAATACTAGATAGTATTAATATTGTGAGGTGCTACTCAATCGTCTCGACCAAACGTGCCATGAGTCATGATCAGCAGAAGCTCCATAAGGGGATATCAATATCTTCATAAGGATCATCCATAATTAAAGGATCAAAAAATGCTCCATTGAGGATATCTGTGTACTTGGGGGAATCAAAGTTGTACCATGAGGCCATTGCAGGCTCATCTGCAACATAGGGTACTGTGTAGTCACTGATCAATGGTGGTGCTAATGAGGCAGCATCATCCTCAATGAGGCTGCAGGTAGGTGATGAAGAAGACAAAGTTGGAGATGGGGTGGCCGGAGGTGGTGTTGAGGCTGATGACGTGGAAGAGATGGGCGGTCCTGGCGGAGGAAAATTACCGTTGGCGGCGGCAGCTGCGGCGGCAGCCACTCTTTGGATGGACTTAGGGGACATGATGGTGTTATGGTGGAGGTTTTGTGATTTGGATATTGGGAAGTTGAAATTGGCTGAAGTTCCCTTAAGGCACAAAAGAGCAGCATCATATGCCCTAGCAGCTGCCTCTGGTGTTGTATATGACCCTAACCATATTCTTGTTTTTTGGTTAGGTGCCCTTATTTCAGAAACCCATGATCCCCAGCTTCTCATTCTAACTCCCTTGTACTTCTTTATGTAGAAAGATTTCGAGCTCGACGACGACGACGATATTGCGGACGACAAAACTTCTTTGGCCGCCACAGATTGGATCTTTTGCTCTTTCTTCACCATTCTTGGATACTTTAAAGAATCGATATCAGTGTGGTCTCACAATGTTCTGGACTCAACTATTGTGTACTTGAATCGATGAACAACTGAACACCGAATTAAGGGTTTCTATTTCTTTGTATACCTGATAAGGAAAATGCAATTGGGAAGTGATTATTTAAGGAGAGAAGATTGATATTTATAGATGGGTTTTTGGGTTGGATGTCCTGGACAGATCTACCTAGTCAAGGGTAGTAATGTCTTTATGTAACATGAAATGGGTGACAGATATTTTCCAATAAAAACATATACCAGTGATAATGACATTTCTGTCCCATGGTAAAACGCTCATAAGACCCTCTGAATTGAAATTATAATTGTTACAAGACTAGCTCCCTTTTTTAATTTGTTGTTACATCTATGTCAAGCTTTCTTACTAAGACATCTTCTTAGATCAGTACAAGATATGTCCCTACAATAAATATTTTTTCCTCAATTTATTCTCAATTTATATCATCCCATGTGCTGACATGCATTCTCATTTTAATGTTTAATGACTCAAAACTTGAGAACAAAGCATAGTTATAATATTGACCCTAGAATATAGCCCCTGCTTGGTTCAATTAAAAAATTAAATGAAAATATAAGTCAAAGTCAACAATTATTTTTAGCCATATATTTCATGAAATCCACAATATTCCAATCATATATTTCATCAATTTTTATTAAAATTTATTAAAAATCTAATTTTCATCTAAATTAAATTAAACAGATGCATAATCTTTATGATCAAGTTGAAGAGAATATGAAGCTGCCTCTCCTTTTCCTTATCAATTATATGCCGAGTAAAGCTGAGAGGTGTCAAGTTTTTCAAAAGCTTCCCCATCACAGATATGCTAATGAAAGGTATATTTGCATTGCATATGTTAGAAATCAAAATTTAATAATAAATATTTTGTAATATTCATTCTAGATCAGTTCTTGACTCGCACCACAACTCCACAAATAACTTTCATTGCCATTGGGGCCACTCATCAGTCTTTTGGCCATATGGGTTTTACATTTAGAAATACATATAAAATACATATATAAAATGAACTTGGAATTGAATAGTTGAATTTGAAGTTTGGTGCTCATTTTCGAAAGATTCTTTATTTAAAAATAGCATTTTTAAATTTAGAGAGTTAAAATTTTTATGCACTCTGATTCTTTTATTTTGATTTTCTCAAAAAGCATTTATTGATTTTTCATTATATTTTATTCAATATAATTTTTATTTGTCAATGGCCAATCAATTTAAATATGGTTTGTATAGTTTAAGAAATAGAATATTGAAATATGTGAATGAAATCAATGTTCATTAAGAATATATAGAGTGCACACTCTCTATTTTAAAAAAATAAAATAGAGTTTTTTGGAGCTTATTTTAAGCCTTAGCTAGCTCTTTAAAAGAAAATGCATTTCATTTTTAGAAAATCTCTTGAAATTGCTCTTAAATAACTATAATATTGTATTAACGATAAAAGTTCACGTAACTCAAGCAATAGTATGACATTTGAGCACAAAAAGGTCAATTTGACATGATTAATTAAAACTCAAACAAATAGTCAAATTTTGAGATTAGTGTTCTAAAACAAGTTAGCAATTTAACGAGATGGGACGAAAATGAGCCAAACCCCTGAACCGTCCCCATTTGCCACCCGATATGTTAAAAAGTAAATAATAATATCATTTTTGATAAAACTCTAAAGTATCAATAATCACATATTATACACAACATGTATATGTACATTAAGTATAATGAGAAATGATCTAATGGGCATCGGTGTTTAATTTATGTTAAGCGCCGAAGACAGGGCACATCATTTGACTAATGAATAAGTTAATCGTAGGTTCCATGAATTTAATGATTCACCAAATTAATTGTTGTGACATGTAATCGATGTTTTACATAAACTAAACACCGATACTTATCATTTTTCTAAGTATAATAACCTCTCTCTACATGTGTATATTTATAAATGTGAATACAATAATAATGCATGCTTGAAAGTGAAACATAGTATTCAGTCAAAAGCAGCTTCCAGGAGACTGCAGGAAGCTTATGGGAGTGTGCTTTTTTTTTTTTTTTTTTAAAAATTAA